CATTCCTGTCAGCTTAGAACTGAAAACTGAGGCTAATTGGACAATAGAAGATTGTAGAAAAGATGCTCCTCTGGTGAGTATCGATTTCTGCTGCAACATTTTGATGGTAAGGTAAGAATTTGGCATCAACAACAACATGGCTGGTGGTGTAATAGTGTGGGGGATATTTTCTTGGCACACTTTGGGCCATTAGTACCAACTGAGCATCGTGTCAACGCCACAGCCTACCTGAGTATTTTTGCTGACCATGTCCATTCCTTTATTACCACAGTGTACCCATCAACTGATGGCTACTTTCAGCAGGATAAAGCACCATGTCATAAAGCGTGAATCATCTCAGACTGGTTTCTTAAATATGACAATAAGTTCACTGTACTCAAATGGCCTCCACAGTCACCAGATCTCAATCCAATAGAGCACCTTTGGAACGGGAGATTCTCATCATGCATGTGCAGCCGACAAATCTGCAGCAACTGCATGATGGCTATCATGTCAGTATGGAGCAAAATCTCTGAGGAATATTTCCAGTACCTTGTTGAATCTATGCCATGAAGGATTGAAGCAGTTCTGAAGACAAAAGCGGGTCCAACCCAGAACTAGTAAGGCGTACCTAATAAAGTGGCCAGTGAGTGTGTGTATGCTATATGAAAAAATATTGTGCATATATGAAGGTTCAGATGCGAAAGGTGCTAAGTTCCGTCTGAATTCTTCTCTCTAAAGTTAGCATTTTTCTTAAGTTTGTGTTCAGTGCTTTCTCTATTTTTCTTTAAGTCTGCATTTCTTGTATAAAAGAGAAAAAAAAAGAGCAGCGGTGGTGTGGATCTCACTGCCCACTCGCTCTCAGCCTCCGATTCTCTCAGTGAACAGAGCAGAAACACACACTCAAATATCTGTAGGAAGCTCACATTCACTGCTGATGCTGGCAGACAACAGCAGATCTCCATAGAGGAGCAGCAGAACAATGCTATTTATAGAGAGATCAGTGTGAGGGTGCAAACATGCACTGAATAAAATATAGTCTGAATCACTGATTTTTTTTTTTTTTTTGTGTTTGAATGAATGTAATAAATGTAGTAGTGAACCTTGAAGTCAAAGTGAAAGGAATCCTAAAAATGTGTGTTAAAGAACATTTGTTCATTTATCAATTATTTATTAATTTTTTTCTGACCCTGGACAACAAAACCAGACATTTTGGATATTTTGTGTTATATATCATCTGAAAGATGAAAAAAAATATTTTTTTATCCATTGTTGTATGGTTTGTTATGACAGGACAATATTTGGTTGCAGTACAACTATTTGAAAATCTGCAATCTGAGGCTGCAAAATATTGAAATATTGAGAAAATCAGCTTTAATGTCCTGTGTTGTTTATCGTACATCATATTGTGTATCGTTTATTTCTATATCAAATTGTGTATCATGTGTCTTATATCATATATTGTGTATCATATATACAGTGTATCATAAATCGTATATCATATATTATGTATGTATATCATGTATCGTATATCATATATCGTATATCATATATTGTGCATTGTATATCATGTATTGTGTATCAAATATCATATATATCATGTATGGTATATCATATATATCGTGTATCGTATATCATATATCGTGTATCGGATATCAAATATAGTTTATTGTATATCATATATCGTGTATATCATATGTTGTGTATTGTATATCATGTATCGTGTATTGTATATTATATCGTGTATCGTATATCATATATTGGGTATCATATATCGTGTATTGTATATCATAAATCGTGTATCGGATATCATATATTGTGTATTGGATATCATATATCGTATATTGTATATCATAAATCGTGTATCGGATATCATATATCGTGTATTGTATATCATATATCGTGTATAGTATATCATATATTGTGTATCGTATATCATATATATTGTGTACCGGATATCAAATATAGTGTATCGCATATCATATATTGTGCATCATATATCGTGTATTGTATATCATATATTGTGTATCGGATATTATATATCGTGTATTGTATATCATGTATAGTGTATTGTATATCATATATCGTGCATCGTATATCATATATTGTGTATCGTATATCATATATTGTGTATCGTGTATATCATATATATTGTGTATTCTATATCATATATTATGTATCGTATATCATATATTGTGTATCATATATCACATATTGTGCATTGTATATCATGTATCGTGTATCAGATATCATATATATCGTGTATCGGATATCAAATATAGTTTATTGTATATCATATATCGTGTATATCATATATTGTGTATTGTATATCATGTATCGTGTATTGTATATTATATCGTGTATCGTATATCATATATTGTGTATCATATATCGTGTATTGTATATCATATATTGTGTATCGGATATCATATATCGTGTATTGTATATCATGTATAGTGTATTGTATATTATATATTGTGTATATCATATATTGTGTATTGTATATCATGTATCGTGTATTGTATATTATATCGTGTATCGTATATCATATATTGGGTATCATATATCGTGTATTGTATATCATAAATCGTGTATCGGATATCATATATTGTGTATCGGATATCATATATCGTGTATTGTATATCATATATCTTGTATTGTATATCATATATTGTGTATCGTATATCATATATATTGTGTACCGGATATCAAATATAGTGTATCGCATATCATATATTGTATATCATATATCGTGTTTTGTATATCATGTATAGTGTATCGGATATCATATATAGTGTATTGTATATCATGTATAGTGTATTGTATATCATATATCGTGCATCGTATATCATATATTGTGTATCATATATCATTCATTGTGTATCATATATCATATATTGTGCATTGTATATCATGTATCGTGTATCAAATATCATATATATCGTGTATGGTATATCATATGTATCGTGTATCGTATATCATATATCGTGTATCGGATATCAAATATAGTTCATCGTATATCATATATTGTGTATCGTATATCATATATCGTGTATATCATATATTGTGTAATGTATATCATGTATCATGTATTGTATATTATATCGTGTATCGTATATCATATATTGTTTATCATATATCGTGTATTGTATAACATATATCAAGTATCGGATATCATATATTGTGTATCGGATATCATATATCGTGTATTGTATATCATATATTGTGTATTGTATCTCATATATATTGATATATATTGTGTATCCTATATCATATATTGTGTATCGTATATCATATATTGTGCATTGTATATCATGTATCGTGTATCAGATATCATATATATTGTGTATGGTATATCATATATATTGTGTATCGGATATCAAATATAGTTTATTGTATATCATATATCATGTATATCATATATTGTGTATTGTATATCATGTATCGTGTATTGTATATTATATCGTGTATCGTATATCATATATTGTGTATCATATATAGTGTATTGTATATCAAAAATCGTGTATCGGATATCATATATCGTGTATTGTATATCATATACTGTGTATCGTATATCATATATATTGTGTACCGGATACCAAATATAGTGTATCGCATATCATATATTGTGTATCATATATCGTGTATTGTATATCATATATTGTGTATCGGATATCATATATCGTGTGTTGTATATCATGTATAGTGTATTGTATATCATATATCGTGCATCGTATATCATATATTGTGTATCATATATCATATATTGTGTATCGTATATATCATATATATTGTGTATTCTATATCATATATTGTGTATCATATATCATTCATTGTGTATCATATATCATATATTGTGCATTGTATATCATGTATCGTGTATCAAATATCATATATATCGTGTATGGTATATCATATGTATCGTGTATCGTATATCATATATCGTGTATCGGATATCAAATATAGTTCATCGTATATCATATATTGTGTATCGTATATCATATATCGTGTATATCATATATTGTGTAATGTATATCATGTATCATGTATTGTATATTATATCGTGTATCGTATATCATATATTGTTTATCATATATCGTGTATTGTATAACATATATCAAGTATCGGATATCATATATTGTGTATCGGATATCATATATCGTGTATTGTATATCATATATTGTGTATTGTATCTCATATATATTGTGTATCCTATATCATATATTGTGTATCGTATATCATATATTGTGCATTGTATATCATGTATCGTGTATCAGATATCATATATATCGTGTATCGGATATCAAATATAGTTTATTGTATATCATATATCGTGTATATCATATATTGTGTATTGTATATCATGTATCGTGTATTGTATATTATATCGTGTATCGTATATCATATATTGTGTATCATATATAGTGTATTGTATATCAAAAATCGTGTATCGGATATCATATATCGTGTATTGTATATCATATACTGTGTATCGTATATCATATATATTGTGTACCGGATACCAAATATAGTGTATCGCATATCATATATTGTGTATCATATATCGTGTATTGTATATCATATATTGTGTATCGGATATCATATATCGTGTGTTGTATATCATGTATAGTGTAATGTATATCATATATCGTGCATCGTATATCATATATTGTGTATCATATATCATATATTGTGTATTGTGTATATCATATATATTGTGTATTCTATATCATATATTGTGTATCATATATCATTCATTGTGTATCATATATCATATATTGTGCATTGTATATCATGTATCGTGTATCAAATATCATATATATCGTGTATGGTATATCATATGTATCGTGTATCGTATATCATATATCGTGTATCGGATATCAAATATAGTTCATCGTATATCATATATTGTGTATCGTATATCATATATCGTGTATATCATATATTGTGTAATGTATATCATGTATCATGTATTGTATATTATATCGTGTATCGTATATCATATATTGTTTATCATATATCGTGTATTGTATAACATATATCAAGTATCGGATATCATATATTGTGTATCGGATATCATATATCGTGTATTGTATATCATATATTGTGTATTGTATCTCATATATATTGTGTATCCTATATCATATATTGTGTATCGTATATCATATATTGTGCATTGTATATCATGTATCGTGTATGAAATATCATATATATTGTGTATGGTATATCATATATATCGTGTATCGGATATCAAATATAGTTTATTGTATATCATATATCGTGTATATCATATATTGTGTATTGTATATCATGTATCGTGTATTGTATATTATATCGTGTATCGTATATCATATATTGTGTATCATATATAGTGTATTGTATATCAAAAATCGTGTATCGGATATCATATATCGTGTATTGTATATCATATACTGTGTATCGTATATCATATATATTGTGTACCGGATACCAAATATAGTGTATCGCATATCATATATTGTGTATCATATATCGTGTATTGTATATCATATATTGTGTATCGGATATCATATATCGTGTGTTGTATATCATGTATAGTGTATTGTATATCATATATCGTGCATCGTATATCATATATTGTGTATCATATATCATATATTGTGTATTGTGTATATCATATATATTGTGTATTCTATATCATATATTGTGTATCATATATCATTCATTGTGTATCATATATCATATATTGTGCATTGTATATCATGTATCGTGTATCAAATATCATATATATCGTGTATGGTATATCATATGTATCGTGTATCGTATATCATATATACTGGTATCGGATATCAAATATAGTTTATCGTATATCATATATTGTGTATTGTATATCATGTATCATGTATTGTATATTATATCGTGTATCGTATATCATATATTGTTTATCATATATCGTGTATTGTATAACATATATCAAGTATCGGATATCATATATTGTGTATCGGATATCATATATCGTGTATTGTATATCATATATTGTGTATTGTATCTCATATATATTGTGTATCCTATATCATATATTGTGTATCGTATATCATATATTGTGCATTGTATATCATGTATCGTGTATCAAATATCATATATATTGTGTATGGTATATCATATATATTGTGTATCGTATATCATATATCGTGTATCGGATATCAAATATAGTTCATCGTATATCATATATTGTGTATCGTATATCATATATCGTGTATATCATATATTGTGTATTGTATATCATGTATCATGTATTCTATATTATATTGTGTATCGTATATCATATATTGTGTATCATATATTGTGTATTATATATCATATATCGTGTATTGTATATCATATATTGTGTATCGTATATCATATACATTGTATATCGGTTATCAAATATAGTGTATCGTATATCATATATTGTGTATCATATATAATATATTGTGTGTTGTATATCATGTATAATGTATTGTATATCATATATCGTGGATCGCATATCATATATTGTGTATCGTATATCATATAATGTGTATCATATATCATGTATCGTGTATTGCATATTATATATATCATATATCATATGTTGTGTATCGTATATCATATATTGTATATCGTATATCATATATACCACATAGACTTGCTCCTACCTAGTACTTATCTCTTTAAAGAGCAACTACTATCTACTACTATCTAAAGAGCAACTACTACTACTATGCAACTACTATGCATACTCCCTTCAGCCACCATGACAGGGGTGTTCTCAAGATCTACCTGAGCTCAAACTCCCTACTCGCCTTGCAACGGTAGGGAGCCCTGGGCTCGAGGATCTTAAGAGCTCAGGGCTCTTTTCCGGGACAGCATGCCAAATTCGCTTATAATCAATCATCCGCTAAGTGCGAACTCTTGAAAATACTATAGTAATTTGAAGTAAATACCATATTGATTTTAAACCATATTATAGCAGACAAGTTGAATTAAGTGTAACAACTTGTAACAACAATACAAGCATATTTCCCAATACTTTTACAGCACACCACTGTAGTAAAAGCTAAAAGACAGTATTTATTACAGTTTATCAGATCACTAGTTAATACTGCACTATGCTGAATGGAAAATTCATTAACAATGGGTTGTAAATACTATCATATATCAGTATACTGCACTTTACTATAGTATGGTTTTAAAATAAATAATATTTACAACACATTACTCTAGTATTTTTACATGTGTGACGTTACTTGTTTATTCATTCGTACATTCATTTTCTTTTCGGCTTAGTCTTTTTATTAATATGGGGTCGCCACAGCGGAATGAACCGCCAACTTATCCAGCACATGTTTTACAGATGTCTTTCCAAATGCAGCACGTTACATGTTTAGACACATTCAAAAACATTGCTCTCCATAGATTCTCCATGAGATGTAAAGTGACACGCACACACACACACACACTGAAACGCACACACGCTGGGATGCAGCATATGTTTTTGGTTTTGCATTATCATATTGAGAGAATACAGAAGTGTGTGTTCATGTGTGGTCGTACGTCACAGCACAGTGTGTTACTCCATGTCAACCTGGGTCTGCCATCTGCCACACACACACACACACACACTAGAGATCCATTCACGTCATTCATCACCAGAAACACTCATCCAGGGTCAGTCTGGAGCATCATAGCCGATCACAACCAGCCATATACACAAAAGTGCATGACTTTAATAATAAAATTAATCAAACACACAGTAAAAAGAAATAATATTAACTATGTTGATATGTAAATTGGAAAACACAATTACTCTTTTATTCTTCACACTTGTACAAATTTCGTTTCATGGATATTTTCCTTAAGATATTTTGTAGAATGTTTGAATCCTGTAACCATTGACTTCCATAGACTTTGTTTTCACTACAGTACAATCCAAGTCAATGGTTACAGGTTTCCAACATTTTTCAAAATATCTGTTTTTAGGAAAGAAAGCACTAAGGTATTGCCTATAAGTTCCTATTGCATTTTTTTTTCATCTGGGTTGTTTTGTGTTCAACAGTCCTAATGTTTGGATGATTTATGGCAAGTAATTAGTGGTAAATAGTTAAGTGAGCTATCCCTTTAAAGACAGTAGCATGTGAGCAGCCAATCAGTGCTCGGGATTCTGTTGACATCACTTGCTTTGGTTTATTGGCCTCGGAGTTGCACTTGTTGTTGAGTTTAACAGCTTGTTAGCAATAGCAAATCGATTAATGTTTGAGTCCCCGCAGGACCCCAAACATCCACTGTGACACTCATCGCCATCTGACTGGGAGGGTGCAGATGTTTGGGTGGGAAATGTGGAAACTGCAGCATATGTTGAGTTTCATATTCAGCGCTCACTGTAAACAAACACAGCAAGTGAAAGAGCACAGATGTTTTACTCACAGTTCACTCACACACATTTAGTTTTACATGCTTAAGGGGATAGTTCACTCAAACTTGAAGATTTAACTTGAATGGGAGGTTAACTTCTAAACAAAAGAAGATAGTTTTAAGAATGCTGGTTGCTGGCACCCACTGACTTCCATAAAATAAGTTTATGCAAACTGTAGGAGTAAAAAAGTGATTGTATACAGGAGAGTGGGTTTATTACATTATTAGGTTTCTTCATTTGGAGGCCAGCAAATAGTTTTGCTTATTTATACTATATTAGTTACATTTGCCAATACTACAAATGAATATTTTAATATCATGCTTTTACTAACCACTAAACACTATTACAAACAAAGGATGTAATATGTAGAGACATCAAACTTTAACTTGAAGTACACATGTATTATTGCTTGTTGCTATTTACATACACTTAATTATCCATAGAGTGACACAGTGGCACAGTAGGTAGTGCTGTCGCCTCACAGCAAGAAGATCACTGGTTTGAGCCTCGGCTGGGTCAGTTGGCGTTTCTGTGTGGTTTTTGCATGTTCTCCCTGCGTTTGCATGGGTTTCTTCCTGGTGCTCCGGTTTCCCCCACAGTCCAAAGACATGCAGTACAGGTGTATCGGGTAAGCTAAGTTGTCCGTAGTGTATGTATGTGTGCGAATGAGCGTGTATGGGTGTCCTAGTGATGGGTTGAGGCTGGAAGGGTATCCGCTGCATAAAACATATGCTGGATAGGTTGGCGGTTGGTTCTGCTGCGGCAACCCCAGAATAATAAAGGGACTAATCCGAAAAGAAAATGAATGAAAGAAAAAAAAATGATTATCCATATAATCCATTTGATAAATCTTGTTCAAATGTATCAGAAAAAGTATACTTTCACTATTCCTCAGAAGCCAATAATCTTCTAAAGCCTCTAAAAATCTCAAATTATAATTTCTTAAACATTTAATTCCAGAACCCCTTTTTCCCTGTTCCCCAGAGGCTAAATGATCCTCTTAAGCCTCTAAAATACCTTAAACTATAAATTTTTTAACATTTATTTCCAAAATCTATACTTTCACTGTTCCTCAGAGGTCAAATGATCTTCTCAAGCCTATAAAATCGAATGACAATTAATTGAACATTAATTTCCAGAACCTTTATTTTCATTGTTCCTCAGAGATCAGATGATCTTCTTAAGCCTCTAAAATATCTAAAATTATAATTTTTCAAACATTTATTTGCAGAATTTTTAATTTGACTTTTTTTCAGAGATCAAACTATCTTCTCAAGCCTGTAAAATATATACAATTATCATTTCTCAAACATTTATTTCCAGAACCTTTACTTTCACTGTTCCTCAGAGGTCAAATGATCTTTTTTAAACCTCTAAAAAACCTCAAACTATAATTTTATAAACATTTATTTCCAAAACCTTTACTTTCACTATTCATAAGAGGTCAAATGATCTTCTTAAACCTCTAAAATCCTCAAACTATAAATTCTTAAACATTTATTTCCAAAATCTTAACTATCTCTGTTCCTCTGAGGCCAAATCATCTTTTTAAGCCTCTTAAATATTTCAAATTATAATCTTTTGAACATTTATTTCAAGAACCTTTATTTTGCTGTTTCTCTGAGGGCAAATGATCTTCTTAAACCTCTAAAATATATATATAAAAAAACTTTACTTTTCCTGTTTCTTGGAAGTCAAATTATCCTTTTCAACCTCTAAAGCATAAAAAGTTATGAGTTTTCAACATTTATTTACACAACCTTCACTTTCACTGTTCCTGAGCAGTGAAATTCTCTTCCCAAATCTCCGAAACATCTCAAATCTTGTCTTTTGACAAATGTGTATTAGTTCATATCTAAATCATCATTGCATAAACCACTTAAAGGGATAGTTCACCTGTCACAATCACCAGCGATCTAATCCTGGCAGATAACTGATACATGGACTACAGCCATTACATGGACTACACATCCAGTTATTCACCACACACTCACACCTGTTCCGGTTGTCTGCTGATTGATATCACACGCAGCTGAAGCTGTTCAAAACTGATAACATGGACTTTAAAAGCACTTTAAAAGCACAAAAGATACACACTAGTTGCTAAGTCTTGTTATGTTTGCTAAGTCTTGTTATGTTTCTGTTGCATTGTAGGCGAATTGGCCCTCACTTTGTTTTGTTTTGTTTGTTTGATTGTTTACGTTGTCATGCTGCCTGCCTTTTGACTATCTGCCTGTTTATTGACCACATCACTGGATTGCCAGTAATACATCTGTTTGTTCTTGTGTTGACCATTGCTTGCCTGACTATTCTACTAATAAATGCTGCATTTGGATCCACAGTCCGTTGTTAGCGTCCCATTCACACTACATCACCCAAAAAAATCTAAATTCTGCACTCATATAATCATTGAATTAAATTAATTAAAAATTATGTCAACTTTCCGAGAATCATGCATTGCTTTTGTCAAAATGTCAGATATGTTTATGTACAGTTTTCTCAGATTGAGGAAAACATCTTATTGGTTTATTACACACATACACAAAAACATTTAGACACAATACAGATTTTCCCAAGTCTCTGAAACAGCATCTTTTGGTGGATGTTTATTTCCAGAAACTTTGTTGTTTTTAGCACTTATTGGAGAAACTTTTTATTAGTAAATCCAATTTATTTTTTACTTTATTTTTTCTAATGGTCTTTTAAACTGGTATCGTGAATAATCACTAATTACTTGTGAATTATATCATTACGTAAATAAGAATCCAGACGTTGTGTTTAATTATGAGCTCAGGTCGAACTGTGTGGAGCTTTTATTCACAGACACACTTTTTTTCAGTTTATCTTAAACATATTCATTTATCTCTCCGTCTTTATCATCTCTCCGTCTTCATCCCAAACAGATGCTGTTTATGTAAGACACAATTTTTACTGCTGTAGCTTGTAACAGGGTCGTCCTAGGCCAATAAACATGACGTACATCTGATATAAAGAGAAATATTACTGTGGGACCGAAGTCAGGTCATAATTAGCTTTTGGTCACTATTGCTTCTGTCACAGTAAATATGTTACTTTCTTTTACATGGATTTTTGCCAAGAATAAGTTCATTTGAATTTGATTTGGAGGTCATT